ATTACAGTAGTAAACAACTGCAAATAACATTATTCTTACTAAAATGGCCATCAAACAGGGTTAAATCAGTCGTGCAAGCCTCGTTATGGCGCAATCGCCAATAGATTGGCCGCATGAGAACACACACTAAGAATACTGGGTCTACTAAGTCCAAAATTCAGAGCCCATAAATCATTTAATATTGGACCTACCATGGCATTTAGTTCGGTCAAAAAGAGAATGACGTAAATAACACTAAATCGAGCAATTTATTGCCTTTGTGGTTCTATTTCAGTTCTAGAACTTTCAACTGTTGAAAAGACGAAAAGTTACCATTTGAACCGAATGCGAACTGATTTTACAAGTTTACAGCATAAAATTAGTTAATTAACGAACATAATTATTTGTCCAACTATGTATTTGGGACTAAGTACTTTAAAGTCTGGGAATCCAATTTTCAATGGTAAAAGGCTTTTTCTTTGTTAAATCTAGATCCATGTTTGGCCCCCATTTCTTAAATCTCAACGAGAAAGTAAAGAACATGCTCCCTAATGGAATGTTTAGGCGATCCATCCTAATTGACCGAATTGGTACGAAGGTTGTAACATGGAAAAACCACGAAAAACATGACTTATTCATGCTAGGGATTACAATGGCCATTGTGTGTGTGTGTGTGTGTGTGTGTGTGTGTACACATTAATTTGTCGTGCATTTCATTAACTTCTATCGAAATTTACTAAAAATCTAAATTTTAATCATACATTACAAGGGTTAAAAATAAGCTAGAGTAGTATGGAGGAGTGCCCACCCCACCCAACCCAACCCAACCCACCCTTTTTTTGCGCTGCTTTTTCAAACTTAGCTAAAAATTAAGTCACTTATATATATTTTTTTTTATCTTTCACATTTGGGTGTTTGGGGGAGCTTATAAGCATCTTTGACCAACTTATTTTGTAGAATACATATACCATACAATTTCTATCATCCCGTTACTAGACATTGATTATTCGAATTTTACATAAAAAATGTAAACAATCCCCCCC